AAAACGGTTATTCCAGAGTAAAATATTTACAATTCTAATTGTAGGACGATACTTAGTTGCATACTTAACAAATCCATCGTAGTAAAAACCCACAGTAACTCTGTCTTATGCGTGCACAATTCGAACGCGTTTTTCGCGTGACGAATTCATACAAGCCATAATAATAGAGACTCCTGCCCACTTACCTACATAAGGCCAATGCTCCTGCCGTGAAACAAGATTTTAGAAGTTTAACGAAACTTACCTGGAAGTTGAAGTTTGACTGGAATTCTATCCCATGAGATTAGTAACCAAGGACTGACATGAAGAACGAACGCAGGCTCACCGGGAGTAACATCACATCATTATTTGAAAGCAACGCACAGTGACCAAGCATAAACAGAACCAACAAGCAGTATCACCAGACTGACAACCCAGTAGCAGTGGGCGGGTGGGTTTGTCAGTCCTTGGTTACTAATCTTACCGGATAGAATTCCAGTCAAACTTCAACTTACAGGTAAGTTTCGTTTAACTTCTAAATTCTATCCCATAAGTCGTAACCTACGGACTGACATGGAGTCTTCAAAGCATGCGAGGTCGCTGTGAGTATAAAAATACCGACAATAGAAACTTATGCAAATAAGTTTAATCTGAATATTCGAATGTTTAGAAATACATACATTTCCCTTTTACACACTATCCAACCGCTTAAACACAACACTCTAATAAATATTACGTACTATAAGTGTAATATCTACTCAATATAACCCCTTCGTAATAGAACCGCCTAAATGTGGTAGCATTACTCCAAGCTGCTCTTTTCAGAATTTCATCTACTGGAAGATCTGCTGCATAGGCTGCTGTTGCATCCGCGTGTCGTGTAGAAGGTGGTTTGAATAAAGTAATGTCAATACCAGCACCTGCTATAAGACAATTTTAATCCATCGAGCTAAAGTTGAGATCCAATAGCACGATGCGGTTTTATGGTTGCAACAAGTAAATTGGCACTTTGTTGTAAATGTTTTGTCTTCTCAAGATTCTCTTCTAAACATAAATATGGCAAACATCATGACCCAAAGTGTATCTGCATGGGAACAATAACAGGTGGAACTGAATAATTTGGTCTGCTTTGTTTCATATGCTTATCCAGAACAAACACAAACTGAACATCTGATTGTATCATGCAGCCGTGGTTAATATTGAGGTGTATTAAAGTTTGTTTCCGCTGAATAGTCAGCAAGCCAATAACCTTGTTAATTTGTGACTAAGCTCTTCAAGACTTAAACCACTGTTAGGGGTGAACGTTTTCAGATAAGCCAAAACTGTTTGGACATCGCAGCTAGCATAATGCTTATTAGCAGGTTGTTTCCGTGCAAATGCTCCTTTTAAGAAAAGATAAACTAATGGGTGTTTCGATCCCCACTGGGATGTCACCAATAGAAATAAAACATGATAACGCTGATCTTGCACTGTTAATACTAGAATATGATAAATTCAGTTATGTTTACAAGAATCCCAAAACGTTATTTAAAGAAGGGGAATGTCCAAGAATTTCCCTTTCACGACAGAATAAATTCCATTTTTTAAGATAACTCGCATACTGTTTTTGTGTAGAAGTTCGCTATGAATCAAGGAGTACACCGGTAACGTGGTCAGAAAAGCCTTGGCTCTGATAATGTTGCCCGCGGACAATGGACATGCCATCAACTTCAGTTGGCCTTGCATGCTGGGGACTTTGCCTAATGGGTGTCTCAATAACACCACTTGAGGGGTCCCTAAGAACAACTTGGGTTGCTGAGTCAGCATCTGTAGTAGAAGAGGGTACCATGTTTGTGTGGGCCATGCAGGGACCAGTGAAACCCCTTCGGCTTGGTCTCGAGAGATTTTCTCCGACATTTCGGAATGAGACAAAAAGGAGGGAAAGCATAAAATATTCATTAGCCAATGATACACTAAAAGCATCCACTATTGCAGCATGTGGATTCGGGTGCCAAAAGGCATACCGTTCTACCTGTCTGTTCAACAAAGATGCTAACAGATCAATACTAAACATAGGAAAATTTTTAGAGAGTTTGTGATTTGGTGTATAATGTGAGTTCTGGAATATAATGAGCAGTCACCCATATATTGTGGGAAATGCACCACGCCCAAGACTTTCTGGCTACTGTATCACAAACAGAAGAACTACATCTCCCCATGTGATTGATATAACTAACGGCAGTCATATTGTCTAACTCGAATTTAATGTGGAATCAGTCCGTACAAAAATTATTGAACATATAAAAAACAACATACAGTTCCCTTACATTAATATGTAGTGTACACTGTTCACTTGTCCACAAACCCTGAGACTGTAACTTAGGATTAGTAGTACACGTCATGCCCCAGCCAAGATCACTGGCATCATTCTGAAAGCTATAGGAGATGACGGGAGGAGACAGTCGCCTAGATGCATGCATTACATAGGTAGTCCACCACTGAAACTCCTGCTTTGCTGCCTCAGAAAGGCACATAAGTGCCCGATAATTTCCATTATCTGGCAAAGGGCTTTAATTTTATCTCGTTCAAGATTGCGTAACCGACCGAACTCAACCCCAGGGAGGTGAAGGAGGGCAGATATAAGTGTACCATTGAATTGTAAGTGTGTTGCCACGCAAAGCCTGTAAACAGAGATCTCCAATTTTACCCTTTTCTCTAGGGGAAGTTTTACTATTAAGGGCTCTTGGGAGGGTATCAGTGCGCATTTGTCAGGGTGTACATGTAACCCGAGACTAATAAAAAGGCTGACACGATCCGAAACATTAACTGCGCAATACGAAAATTCCTGACCTTGAAAATAATAGTCATCAATAAAACCACTGCTTATGTGTCCTTTTTGTCGAAGAGTAGCCAAAACTGGCTTCATGACTTTGGTGAAAATTCGGGGAGAACTAGTTAACCCCATAGGCAGTACACAAAACTCATACAGTTGGTCATTCCAAACAAATTTGAGAAATTTCTGTTGTTCCTCTTCAATAGGAATAGTGGATTATGCATGCTTTAAATCAATAGAAGCCATGCATATAGGCTCCCGGAGTAACAAGACTAAGAATTGCAGCAAGCGTATCCATTTTGAAATGTCTGTAAAGAACAGCTTGGTTACAGCGCTTAAAATTAAAATCAATCGATATGAACCATCCGGTTTAGGTACGACAAAAATTGGAGATATACATTCTCACACAGCATGCATCGAGTTAGATATGACTCCAAGCTGCAGTAGTTTATCTACTTCCTTACTAATAATATCATGTTGGTAGACATTAAAATGCTGATGTCCTGTAATGCTATATTTAGAAGGGTCATCGATGAACGCTATGCGACAATGCTCTATATATTCTAAAATCTCTGGGTCAGATGTGATCTCTGACCATTTAGAAACACAATTCTTAGTATTACCAGCTCTAAAACATGGCTGCTCAGAAATAAGTGATTTAACTAACGTTAATAAGTCAACATACCAGTTGCGAGTGGGCTTTTGGTTGCTGGCCTTTCGCTCGTGCTGGGGCACACTCTGAACATTCTGGCGCTGATGAAAACCAGAACCAGACTGAGAACCATGGCCGCGCTGGCTTCTACCACGCATTTACCCCACGCATTGACACTTTGTGTTTGTTGAACTCGGCCATCTCTTTAACGCGTTTAACAGTGTCGCCTCCAAAAAGAAATTCGTCAGCTGGACTTGTAGGACTACAAAGCCCTTTGCCAAATTCCGCTTTAAATTGAGGTCTGATGGCATCCCGTCGTCGTTGATTGAGCTCATAATTAGCAGTCATTGCCAGTGTGATGACATCTAAAGAATTGTTTAGAACATCTTTTGGCTTAGGTGGAAAACGCGGACATGCAGACACGCGGACATGCGGACACGCAAGTCAAGTGGAAAACGCGGACATGCGGACACGCGGACATGCGGACACGTAAGTCAAGTGGAAAACGCGGACATGCAAGCCAAGTGGAAAACGCGGACATGCGGACACGAAATTTACTAAACTTCAAAAAATGTATTACGACAATAATTAATAATTTTTCGCGTGATATTGAAAGTTATCAATGCCGAGGTTGTGTTTTTCTCTCTCATTTCTCTGTCTTAGTTTGTAAGCTCGTTTAGTGTATTTCGCTTCTTTTTTAGTTACAAAAACAAATCTCGCCATGGGCCATGGCTTTATATGTTCTGCATGTAAAGAAGCTCGTTTTCTGCTGGCAGAATTGATGTCATATTTACATTCAGAAAGCTATATCTGCAGGTGTGATGTCGTAATTACACAATCAAAACGGAGATTGTATAGGAAATAATGACTGAAGATTAATGACTGAAGATTGATAATGGATTGTTGCGCGAACTTTTACTGTTTTCATGTACTTTACTTACAGTATTGAAGATTCTGAAAAATCCACTCAGAATCTTTACAAATTACAAAACAACGGCAATTCAGAAAACGTTTTCATATATTCAAGTTTCAACTACATATGTTTTAATTGTCATCACGAATGATACTAGGTATGACACAGAGTAATTTGATATACATACACATACGTATATATTATCAGGGGAAAAAGAAAATAGAAGAGTCTGGGGAATATTTTTTTATGCCCAATGACAGCATTTCTGGCATTTATTGGAGCATGCACAAGAAAAACTTGAAAATAAATTAAATGACTGTGTTTCGAGGTTATATACATCTATACTGTATAGCTGTCTCAAATATGTCAACTTGCAGAGTAACCTATTTTGAGATGAACCCATGCACGGACGACCACACTCTAGCTAAAACTGTCCTGATTTAAAATTAACTTGAAAAAATAACCCTATTCTGGTAAACTCAGTCAAATAAATATTTTTGCTTGATTTGTTTGGTTATTTTAACCTGTTTTCCAAAACTTATTCACCTATATTGTCTGATTAGTTTTGAATTTATCTATAATCTTAAAGGGGTTGTTAGTTGTTTTCGCAACGTTTCGGAAGTTTCTGTTCCAACACCATACTAATGCTGTACGTACAAATTATTACAGATAAGTGGACAGATGCAGCTGGATATACTCCGCCGTTTCCTATGTACTCGAATACAACTGGAGATCAAGGATCAAGATTTGTGGATTTAAATGGTGATGGCCGTATGGACTTTGTCTATCATCTATGGACTCCGTACAAAATTTTTAAAGGCGCGTTCATCAACGATCCTGGTTCGGAAACCTTCGTATCAGCTGCCAATTTTGAACCACCGTTTCCCGTTGCTGCTAATAACGGCAGCGATTTAGGTACTCGTCTTTTGATTATATTTCAATCCTATTGTAATTGAATGCAATATCAGTCACCCATTCTTCTTGTTGCATATAATGGAAGTAATAGACCTTCATAGCTCAGATGCATATGTCTCTTATAGATCAGGTGATTCACAGTTTTTTTTTAACCCTCTGGATTTATACAAATTACTTTTAATCTGAAGAATTACAGAATGTAGTAATGACGAGTGAAAGAAAATGTAACGGTTCAAAATATTGTTTTAAATAGAAAATTAGCTTTTCTCAAGCTCGCTTTATCCGTCATTTTTGGAATTTTTGTAACAACTTCAGTTTTTGTGTGTAATATGGTACATTTACAGTTACAACTTGTAAAGTGCTTTTCTCATTGTTTCAGTTGTCTAGAATATGAGGGAAGACAGTGCTAAAAAGGCAGATATTGCATGACTCGCGTGACGAAGTCTAATAGCATACGGATTAGCTATAAAGTGTATTTTTACTACATAAAATATATCACCATCTGATTCCTCCCTTTCTTCTGTAATGACTTGATAGAAACGTAAAATATATGACCATCATTCCATTCTCCTGTTGTTTATAGGCACGAGATTCGTTGATTTAAACGGGGACGGAAAAGTTGACTTTGTGTATCACCGCTGGATTAATTCCGTTGTTGTTCATAAGGGAGCGTATCTAAACACAGGCGAGGGCTGGATGTCATCGCCCGAGTACATACCACCATTTCATATCGCTCATGATAATCATGGGGACCTAGGAGCGAGATTCATTGAAATGAATGGTGATGGAAAAATTGACTTTGTCTATCATCGACGTCTAAGTGGAGGTCGTCAACAAAAGGGTGCTTACATCAATACAGGTAACAATATTTTTAATGAGATCACTGCAACCAGTTGATGGACACTACTTTGATATGAATAATTGAAGAAATTGACAGAGAATATTAAAGAACTATCCAAGGTGCGAGTGATGAAACTAGTATAGAAAAAAGAGAAAAACAAGAGAGAATGAGGAAAAAGGGAGAAAATAAGAACAAATGAGTTATAAAACGAACAGAATAAATATTTCTGTGCTAGGTTTTTATGATAGGAGTTTAGTCCGAAAGCTGAATTTTAATAAAAACTTTTAAATTTTTTAACTAAAACTTTTCTTATCAGAGTTTATATTAAAACCTAGCACTGAAATGAAACATCCTGGTAACATAGTAACGCTTAAAGAATAAATATTGTTTCCTGACAGAGCCATATATATATATATATATAATCTCCGAAATGCAACTAACATCATAACTTAACAAGTCGTTCTCAGCTTGACCTTGTAGCTCAGACGGTAGAGCATCGTTCTAGAAATGCGAAGGTCGCGGGTTCGAATCCCAGCCGCGGTCAAGTAGAATTTTCTGCTTGCCCGGTTTGGTATACACTCGTCTGAAAACAACTCAAAAACCGCTATATATATATATATATATATATGTATATATATATATATATGTATATATATATATGTATATCTATCTATCTATCTATCTATCTATCTATATATACATATATATATATATATATATATATATATATATATATATATATATATATATATATATATATATATATATATATATATATATAAAGTCTGTAAAGTTGTATAAATTTGAATTGTATCGATTAGGTGTTTTCGTTTTTCGCTTGATTATTATTATTTACCGTACTTATTTTTATGAAATTGTAATCAATGCACATTCCATATAAACAACAGGAGAATAGTAGATCTGCCAAGCCGGAGAATAATGGTACCCTTGAAAAATTGTGTGGTGGATAACGCCCTTTAGGGTGTATAGAGATGTTTTAATTAGAGTTAGAGAAATAAAATCGAGCTCGACCTACTGAAAAATATAGCAGTGTGATGCCACTGTAATATAAGTGTAAAATTTCTTAGTTTCGGCATCTTGCCCTACAGAACATGCACAATGTTGAGGGTTTCAATCCCAATTGCCACTTTTTCACTCAGCATTTTGTGTCCTCATTTTGATTTATTATTTCAGCTCTCTTTGTCGACTGTGTCGGAAAACAATGTTTATACTGTTCGTTTTATAATACACATTAAAGCATTTCTAGAAATCTCCTTTCATCAGTTCATAAACCCCTTTATGAACGCAAGGTAATAATATACCTAATTTTAGTCAGGTAGTGATAAGCTTGGCGGTGATAAAGTGAATTCAGTGCAGTGATGACCTGTAGAGATGTGCAGTGATAATATTCTTAAACAATTACTAAGTCGTCAGATAGTTTAACTTGTTATCTCCCATGCACAACAAAATCCATACAATAATGTAATGCATATCTTGGTTCATTTTCTCAGGAAATGGTTGGGAAGAAGCACCGCAATATACACCACCATATCCCATAGCAGATGATGAAGTTAGTGATTCAAGCGCTAGATTCGTAGATATTAATGGAGATGGGCGTATGGACCTTGTATATCACCGCTGGCGTAACGGCAACCCTGCAGAAAAGGGCGCGTACATCAATAATGGTCTCACATGGGTGTGGTCTCCAGAGTACACACCGCCGTTTCATATTACTTCTGGTTGTATTACCGATCTCGGAGCGAGATTTGTTGACCTGAATGGCGATGGTAGAGTTGACTTTGTCTATCATAGATGGATCAACAATAAGGTATTCAATGAAGCTAGTACAAATTTATAGTAACTTCAAGCCAACTACGGTAACTTAATATTTAAAATCATATTTATTATGGGGCGTTTATATTATAATATTTTACAGATCTTGCCATTTAACACAAACTATTACACAAAATTAGTTACACATTAGATTACATGGCTGGAATTACCACACAGATTAATTCTTCAATAACGGGGTTCCAATCTCCGTGCGTTCCTGAACAATAAATCATAGTTTTCATAGGAATTAAAAACTAACACGACTTATGATAATTTGGGCAACGACAGCTATGTGTGTACTCAGTAATGTTTAAGTGTGAACACATACGCCCGTATTCTAAAAGCTCACTCACACTCACACTCGATGAGTAGAGGTTCAATCTGAACTTCTCTTGAGTGCCAATGCTGTTTTTGAAGAACTGGAGGGCGAGTAGTCACCGAGTAAGTTATGACACTAGCCCTCCAGCTATTCAAAAAGAGCAAGAACACTCAAGAGAAACTCAGATTGAACATCCACTCATTGAGTGTGAGTGAGCTTTTAGAATACGGACGATAGTTGCGTACTGTACATACATTATTCAGATCACTCCCCATCGTGACCGTTTTTCAGTGACTAATTGCATCAAGAAATTTATATTTACTTAATACATTACTACCTACTTAGCCTTATATATTTATCTTTGCAACAGTTGTGATATTAAGTGTCCTAACTATGTTTAACCTGACCCACCCTGCCAACGTTCCCTGTGGGAGGGGACCGAAGCGCCCAGAGAACAGACTCTTTTATGCGAGTTCGTAAATGAGAACTGAATCCACGATCATAGAGGGGAGGGCACCGAAACACATGATGAAGAACCGATTATATGGCAATCCAATGCCAACCGATTGTTGGAACCAATTTTAAACCAACACATGTATGTATATCAACCAAGAAACGATAGCAAAAAAATGATACACTAAGAAGCATTCATCTATAGTGAAAATATCAGTAAAAGAGCAAATTGGTTAAAAGATATTTTTGTCCTACTACTCTCATTTTAACATTTCTCCTGTAACGTGAGGATCGGGATTATATCTTGTGTATCGTCTTCATCACTTCTATCATCCAACCGTATTTGCAATCCATCTTATTTTGTGTCCTCATTTTGATTATATCCGCTTATCAAAGAAACATTTCGTACTTAAATTTTATTGCTAGTACAGTTAGACATTAGTTAAAGTAATTATTGTCTTTTATGCTGAAAGGTTGCTCAAAAAGGTGCCTATATAAACAACGGATATCACTGGGTTTGGACGCCCGAGTACATTCCACCTTTCCAAATCTCAGCCGACCATGTTGGAGACTTGGGAGCTAAATTTGTTGACATTAATGGTGATGGTCTAAATGACATGGTTTGGCACATAGTTTGGAATGGAAAAACCCAAAAAGGAGCTGCTATAAATACCGGATGTGGTTGGAAGCTTGATAGTGCATTTAGCCCGCTCTATACCATAGCGAACGTAGGACGTAAAGGATCAGGAGCAAGGTTTGTGGAACTGAATGGTGATGGAACCATTGATATGGTATGGAACACGGAAGTATCACATAATAGCCATCAGAAAGGTGCCACACTTGGTAAGATGAATTATATTGTGTAAAATCATTTTGAAAATCAAATGTTACTTGAAACATAATTGAGCGACATAATTCTTTGCCTGTGCCGTAAACGTCTTTATAACGGGCATCTCCGCAGATTACCACAATTTATTTTACTAATTGAAGAATAAGCGAGACAGTCAGTACAACGTTGAATAATAATAAGTATTTGATTAAGGGAAGATATCCACGAAGCTTGCCGTTTGCACTTGAGAGCTTTCGTTTTGAAGTATTGTGTTAAAATGCAACGACTAATCTTTATATTTAATCCGATTGGTGAGTGCTTCTGTTTCGACTCCGGGAGTGGCGGTGCTAGAAATGTGTGT